GCACTGGCCCTGTGGATAAATGACTGCAGGGAGAAGAATATCTCCCCGCATACCAACACCATCTGGATGAAGGCCAAGAAACTTTGTGATAGTTTGGGAAAGCACAGACATTCACGACAGTGACGAGGATGAAGATGAGGACAACGCCGCAGAAACAGGACCATGGAGTGCTTCTCCCACGGAGAAGCATGCAACTCCACTCAGTGTCAGCAAGGGCTGGTTTGGCAAAATTCAGAAACACTCTGGACTCAAGAGCATTTCTCTGCATGGAGAAGCTGCCTCTGCGGATAAAAGGCAGCGCCAGCAACTCTCCATAACTATGTTCATCACTTGGATGAAGAGATCAGTTATGACCACGCCTTTAGCAGAAATAGAAGTTGTAGCCCAGGGCGAAGATACTGCACCATCTAATGAAGCGCCTGATGAAGTGGTACCTTCAGAAGAGTTGTGATGCTCTTCTTGGTCATGCAGTACATTCATCTCATCATCATCACCTTCATCGCCATCAGTACTGCACAGCTACATAATTCCTGATCTTCATCAGGGGTGGGTACCCATATAGAATTTTATATGTTGTTAAAATTACATAGGTTTAAGAGTGTATAAAGTGTTTTAAGAGCATATGAAGTGTTTATAAGAATGTGGGAAAGGTTAATAAGAGAGTGGAAAATGTTTATAGGAGTGTGGGAAGGGTTATAAAGCTTTAAAATATATATATATATAAATAATAAAATATAATGCTGCTACTTCGTGGATTTCCACCTATCACGGGAGTCTCTGGACTGTAACTCCTGCAATAGGTGAGGGATCACTGTAATTTGTAGGAATTCTTTATTTTAGTTGCCAATCTTTTGTCAGTTTTATATTTTAATATATTTTTTATTTATATTTTTTTGTTATTATAATGATCAGTCTTTTCCTGGTTCTGTTAAGTAACACTTAAGGTTATTATTTTATCTTGAGCAGTATAAAGAAGCAAACAAAAATGACTGACATATTCTTACCACCCAGGTAATCCGATGTCATAAAAATAAACACATGAAAGCAATATATCCAAGAGTTAGAAAAATCAAATATTAGAGGTCATATGAGAAAAACTACAGTCTTTTCTCCCCCAAAACCAGGTGACCACTGTTAATTCTGCACAATTCCAGAAGTTTCTATGCATGTAATAGCATTTCTACATATCCTTTAAAATTACACAGAAAAACAGTATATTCTGTGCCCTCTTGTTTGTCCACCTGATAGAGTATGTTAGACTGTTTTTGTATCACTGCATCAGATAGGCCATACAGACATCCTTTGGTTATATTGAAACCAGGTACTTTTTAAAAATACTTTGATTGATCTGGCTTAAATGCTCTCAAAAGGGTGTGTTTCTGAGAGAGTAAAATAAGTTGGTTGGAAAGAGAAAAAGTGGAAGCATGGTCATGGTTCTCCTTTGTAAATCACTGGTGCATCCAAGGGCTAGGCAGTGCAAGCTACCTTCTCTTATTTAACCTAAAGCCCTGGGGACACAGTACAGGCCCAAGTGGCCCTGAACTGTGATCCTGGGGAGCTCAAACAAAGGGGGAATTAAAATTACCTTCTACCCCAGCAAAAGGAAATGTGCTTTTAATCTGGTTTGGATTAGCCCAGCCTGCCAGGAACAGGGTGAGTTACTGCCTTGGACAAATGCAGTAACAAAATGGGCTTGTAGGGTAGTATTGGTGAAAGCTAATAATCCTTTAAAACGTTTTTCTTCCTGTTTTTTTTTTTTTTATATACTATAAGGATTCATGGGTCATGGGAACATAGAATAAAGTATCCTTTATTAAGAGCCTTTTAATACATTATTTTTAGTGACATCTAGAATGTTATGTATATTGCTGAACCAGTTTTTGGAGAAAAGTGTATATAAATCATAGGATTAAAAAACATTCTCTATATGCATGTGTAATCCTTGTTATCCAAAATTAGGATTCTACTACCTTAGAAGTATTGTTGGAAATTTTTTGAAAATATCTTTAAATTGCTATCTTAGACAAAAGACATAATTTTAACACATACATAACTTCTGTATATTTCATGAAAACTAGTAAAATGTATTTTTTTAAGTTAAGGCTCTAAAATTTTACAATGTTAAGAATTTTAAGCAGCTTCATTTTTATTTTTTGATAAATTTTCACATAACTAACATTTTTCAAATTTCTGCATTTCCACTTTCAGCATGTTGAATTATTCTGCTTTCTACTTAACCCACTTATTGATGTTCACTGGAGACAATTTGTCCACATACAGGCATGTGTGATTTGGAGCAAGTTCTATATTACATGCACAGGAAATCAACAACAAAGTAGAATGAATGAGTAGTCTGCGGCCATACCACCCTGAATGCACCCGATCTCCTCTGATCTCTGAAGCAGAATGTGCAGCATGATGATATTTTGTGGAATGGAGGTGAGGAAAAAAACTACATTATGTCCAAAACTGTCATGAGGAGCCAATTAATGTGTGTAAAACTCAATAAATAAAAACATACACATAATGCTTACTTTCATGTATCCATTTGGAATGCAAATTATATGTAACTCAAAATGTTTTGATGAATTGGGGAAGGGGGACATATTTTCCATGCACAGAATGCTCCAGAACAATCTCTGCTTGGCCGCCAATCTGCAAAGACCAAAAGTAACTGGGCCTGCAGTCATCTCGTTGACCTGGGAAAAAGACCAACTTTGGACTCAGACAGTTTTGTTTCAATTAACATGTAAGATCAGATTCCCTGTCAGCAAATATTTTCAGAGAAAAGTATACCTCAAACATATTTGGAAAACATTTTATTAAGTATATTTCAAGTTATTTTGATAATAAATCCATAGAACTATTCCAAGGATATTACGTCTTTAGAGAAACCACCACGAAATGAACAGGCATATGCAAAGTCCTCCACTATACCCATTTCTTTTGGTGGAACTTTCCTTTTCGGGAACAAAGCAGATGAGATGGGAATTTTAAGCAGATTGATATTTATCAGACAGGACGCCACAACAGAATTTGCTGAGATGAGGTAAATACACATATGTTCCTTTGGAGAAAGAAGTGCTGGTGCACCATAGAACTACCTCCAGTTTAGACGTGGACTAAAATGCCAAAAATAATAAACTTAAGGTAAAACAGTGGAAATCTGGATTAAAAATATCTGTTGATCTCTTTCTCAAAATAACATTTTAATCCTATCTATCTATCCTTGGCTATTGTGTCTCCTCAGAATCACCTAGAGCTCATATTTACTGGTAAGGTTTCAAAAATTCTAGCCTGAATTTTCTGTTGACCTCTCATACAACTACTAAAATAAAGCAAATCTGCTGTATACTCACACTATATATAGAAGAAAAGCTTGCTAAATTGTGGTTTCGCCCACGCAAAGGAGATCAGGTATGGTGACTTGCCCTCCCATTACTGGAAAGGGGACCTGGCCCTGAGTGCATCTGCCTTGGGCCAGCTGGTCGTGTGTGGGTTCTTGACTTTGTGCAGGAAAGATTTCGCACCCAAGTCCTGGTGATTTTTAGAGTACATTTACTAAAGCTGGGGACAGTGAAACAAGGAAGGGCTTAGGATACCGGAAGCAACAGGAGAGGCAGAGCCTCAGCAGGGCTGTCTTGGCTTTCTAGAGCCAAGATAAGTGAGCCTTGACGGGGCTGCTTCAGTTCACTAAGTTGGAGAAAAGGGGGCCTTGGGTCAGGGTCAGGGGGTTATGGTGGGACGAGGTGCTGCTGCCCATTGCTCCCTGAGTGCAAGTCTCTGGGGCCCTGAGTTTAGGAGATGCACACCTGTGAGGGAAGAGAGGGAATGGAAAAGGTGCTGGAATGCTCCTGGGAAAAGCCCTGTGCTGGGTCCTTTGTCTTGAGGCTTTTAAAGGCTGGGGAGTTCAGCAGAGGTCTCAGGGAGGATCTCAGTCAAGTGTCAGCTTTAAGCTGATGTCCCAAAATGAGATCTAGTCTTACCCTCATCTCTCCTTGGGTGTGGTTGGCAAATGGCACTAATTGGATTTCTGCTATCTCCCAGAGTAGGGTGATTTAAGCTATTTACCCTCTAGTTTAGGGAAGATAGGATTTAGTAGATGGCTGCAAACTGCTTGTTTAATTATCTGTTTCCTGATTCCACTAGTCCTGGCTGCAGCTATTGCCAGGCCTGGGGCTCACTGAGGCCACCTATTGCTTGTTTGAGAGGATTTAGGAAGTTGTGAAGCATGAGCCAACCCAGACTAGCCATTCTTACTGAAAAGCTGTTCTGTTGAGTGGGCCCATAAATTGGGTGGGGCAGTCTCTGGTAATCTCCAAGAGGGGTGTAACGGTGTTAGCCAAATTGATGGATTTTCAGGTAGGGCACCAGCCCGTTGGCCCCCTGAGGGTAGGGCCCAGAAGAGACAATGGCCTTTGCTAGCCTTGATGCCAGCCACCTCCGGTTCTCCCCATATGCCACTCATGCCCCTCAAGCCACCACCCTGGCGCTGGAGTCCAGACGTAGTGAGTCCAAGCACATGATTCTGTGTTGGCTCTGTAAGAGGGAGTACTTGAAGCTCCAGAAGTTTCTTCCACTGACTCAATCCCTGCTGGTTTTTGCAGCCAGTTGTGGGGACTTCTTCATGGCACTGAAATCCTGGGCAGGGGGACCTGGTGTGGGGCTGCAACTCCTGGATCCCGAGATATCCCTCCCTCCTGAATTTTTATCCACATGTGGGTGAGGGATCAGCCTGTTCTGTGTCTGTGCCCCTCCTACCAGTCTAGATGGGTAAATATTTCCGTAGTGTCTGACTTCCATTTAACTCAATTTCTGACAGTTCTGAGCATTGGTTGTTCTATAGTTTAGTTGTAATTTTGACGTGGTTGTGCAGAGAGATGAACCCTGTCTGCCTATGCCACCATCTTGACCAGAAGTTCAAATAATTCTTAAACCAATGCTCTGCACACCCTCAGTGACGTATATTCCAAGAATAAAAAATTAAATAAAGCAGCACATATTTTGCACTTAGTAACTTTATTGTTGGTAGTGACTTTCATGTAGTAATTCTGAAATAATTTTACATCTTATAGAATCAACCACATTTTAAATATGGGTGTTGTTCAAAACCAAAGTTCTCACCATCAGAGAAGGAAGATACAGAGAGGGAACAGGCATACAGTGAGGAAGACAGATGAGTGTTGGATTTGAAATGAAAGTCCCTGAAGGATCTCATGATGTGGAAACAATGCATTTTCTGGCTCTGTTCTGAACCTGAAACGGCCCAGAAACAATGGCACCCTAGTAGCACCCAGCTCTGGATTTCCAAATACCATTCCCCCCCCAAAGAAAGGTGTTTTTCTTGAAGAAAATAACCAATTTTACCAGCCTGGGGTAGGCAAAGTGAATGATAAATGTAGAGTATCTTGCTAGAGCAAAAAGCAAGAAAATGCTCCAAGACTGATAGGCACGGGTCAAAATAACCCATGAATAAGCTGAAAGGTGTTCTTGCTGACCAAATTTGGAACAATTACAGTAATTTAAATAGAACGTTTAAAAACAATCAATGAACCCACATTGATGGGTAGAGGGAGGAATAAATGTGCTTCTTTGTAAAGACTGCTCGCTAATAATGTCTAGATGAAATGCTAGATTTAGAAAGTACCAATTTGCAGCAACCAATGTAATAAAATAATGGACTCTGGCAAGGATTGACCAATGAACACTAAAACCACTGAGTGAACAGGATGGCCAAATGGTTTCCCAGTATCTCCTCCCAGATTATTTCTGAAAACAGAAAGATCTGACAGAAACCAAGTAATAAACTTATACTGGCAATAATGTGACAGTGACATGTGCCTCCTGATCAGATGTGAAGCAATGAATGGGTCACACCACATGCCGTTATGGTGTCTCCTGCCAAAATCTTTAATCCGAAGGCACTCATGAGGCACCGTCAGAGGAAACAGAATTCTACAAGCTTAACTGGCTTGCTTTTCCAAGTGTAAATTTCATATAAAAATTTTTTAAAAGGTGGAAGAACTGCTCTAAAGTAAAGGAGACTACAGATACATGGCAACTCAATGCTATAGCTTTGGATCCTGGATTTAAAAAGAAAAAGAAAAGCTTTTAAAGATCAAGTGACATTATAGTGGATCATAATACATAAAATACTTTAGACCAGCTATTTTCAAGCAGTGTTTTTAAACATGCAATGCTTGAGTATGTAGTTATAGGCACTGTCTTCTTTTCCCTTAGACTGTCAAATTTAAAAAATGACAACAGCCAACACAACAATAACTGTCTGGTGTAAATGAAACAAAATCATACTTTTTAAAAATCAGATCAGCAAAAAATATATTTTCTGGGAATTCCGCAGAATTTTAGTAATTAGTTCATGTGTGCTATAAGATGAAAAAGGTTGAAAAAAATCACTGTTTAGACAATTCCATATCAATTTTAAATTCCTTGGGTGTGATAACTATTATAATTATGCAGGACATGTGCTTATGTTTTAAGAAAGACATGTTGTAACAGCAGTGGGTAAAGTATGATGCCACTTCTTTTAAGTGAAAAGTGTGCTTACAGAGAGAGATTACCGCAAAACAACAATTGATCAATATAAGAATATATGATTATTTCATGGTAATACACTTTCAACTTTTCTGTAAACTTAAAATGTTCAAAATGAAAAATTGGAAGAAAAAAATAGCCTAGTGACACCGTGAGGGTACAGGCGTTAGCGAAGTGGAGCATCCTGCTCTCAATTTTAACCAAACCCAATGAAAAACCAGAAGTGATTACAGAACAAGTTAAGGAATCAAATTAAGATGGTAAACAAATTCCTAAATCTCCTCTTCCTATTAACTTAGACAAGTGGGTGGCAAGTGGTATAAAGGTGTTGGTAAATGGGCTCTAACAAACCTTAATCCTTTTTATCACAAAAACATAAAATGAATTAAAAGCCTAAAATGTTTCCCTTCTAAAGGGGCATGGAGGACTGGCAGGAAAAAGAATATTTTAAAAGTTAATACAATAATAAAAAGTTAACACATTGGCTTATTTTGAGAAGTTTGTCAGAATGATGAAACTAGATGTTTTCTTACTTAATCTAATAAACATCTACAGTTATATATAGACAATTAGAATAGATCCCATATTGTTTTAAATCTCCCAACCCGAGAAAAGCATCATCACCAGTAAGGTGTTTTAATAACAACAACAGCAAAAAACCTATCCCACCAAGACTTTTCTCCTGGCACTGCTTCTTTTTAAAAAAAATATTTTATTTATTTATTTCAGAGAGAAGGGAAGGAAGGGAGAAAGAGAGGGAGATGTCAATGTGCTATAGGTACACTGATCAGTTGTCTCTTGCACACCCCCAAGTGGGGACCTGGCCCACAACCCAGGCATGTGCCCTGGACTGGGAATCAAACCAGCAACCTTTTGGTTCGCAGCCCAGCTCTCAATACACTGAGCTACACCAGCCAGGGCCTGGAGCTTCTCATGTAATGAAAGACAAAAAATCAGCCCACACTTAATTCCACTATCAGCACATAAAATCCTCCCCTAAATTGCGGCATTCTCTGTCTTAATAGCTTTAAAAAAAAAAAGATTTTATCTATTTATTTTTAGAGAGAGAAGAAGGGAGGGATAAAGAGAGAGAAATATCAATGTGTGGCTACCTCTCATGGGGACCTGGCCTGCAACCCAGGCGTGTGCCCTGACTGGGAACAGAACTAGCAACCTTTTGGTTTGCAGTCCGCACTCAATCCATTGAGCTATACCAGCCACTGTCTTAATAGCTCTTAAAACAAAATAAAAAATTTAAAAGAATATGATTGCATCTCAAATGCTGCTGGTAGGCTATGCTGAACCAAACACAGTGCTAGAATTTTTATATGGCCAATAAAATTGAAAAAGTGTCTTTATTCAAATAGTCGTGAGTGTTACATTATGAAATCAGCCGCCCCATTCCCACCATTTCCCTCTGAAATGCCAAACAAATGCAGCAAAGTTAATGACCACATGGCAGGATAGTCACTCAAACTTTTTAATCTCCCTTTACACATTATATTAATATTCATATTGCAAGGCATTCCATTCACAAATATTACAGTTTGATAAAAAACTTCACACATATATCCCCGAAAATCTATACCAGATTCGGTCATTTGACTAAACATTAAAATAATAAAATGAAAACATTATTGTAATTCTTTTAAAGCAGTAAGGTCTGAGGCACTCTGGGAAAGATGTTTTCGTACAAGTATAACATGTCAGTGGTATCAAGTTATCTTACAATAAAGTCACCTGAATCCTGGTAATCAAGTACACTCTAAGGACAATGACTTTGATCTGATATGCCTTCACTGGATACAGTGGCATTTGGACTGAACTACTAAAAGGAACATAGACACTGGGCAGCTGAGGTCATTTCTAATGAGGCTCCCAGCGACGTAAAGGTGAAGTGTGTTTTCAGCACTCCAAGGACAGCTGCATCCCTACTGCAAGGAAACAGTCCGATCTTCAAAGAGTTTCTTTCTCATCACAACCAGGTTTACTAAATGTTAGAATCTAACATCTCACCTGACTTACTCTGCTCACTGCTGGAGAAATTTCAGAACTGGCTTTCCCGATCAGCCTCCACAGTGCAACCTCCACCCTCCTCTGATGTCTCCAAGGTGTGCCCTTGAAATAAAATAGACAGTGGAACAAAGGGAACTTTGTTCCCCCATTTTGACCAAATAGAGGTCTGAAATAGCAATATATTACAAAATCTTCACACTCTGCAACAGCCACTACCATTTGGCGCGTGGCTATTTTTGCCACAAACTAGATTTCAAAAAACCTAATAACGTTTTTCCAGAGTGAATTTTGCCACATCCATTCACGGACACAGAGTCTGAGTGCTTCCTTCCACAAAACTACATGGGTAAATAATTAGCATGGGAGAGGCCAATTCCCAGTTAAGAATTAAATCACTGCAAACTGTGGGTCCATTTATGACAGCTTATGACCCTATTGGAGCAGAATCGACACAAACCCCAGGTCATATAGTGTTCAGTAATTACATATATGAATTTAAAATGTACAGATACATATTTCCTATATAGTAAAAAAAAATCTCGGGCAACGTGTGTTGCTGAAGTTTCAAGGATTCTCACCTTCCACATTCATCTATCTGGAAAGCAGCGGCTCCTGATGGCCTGGCTGTGGCAGTGATAAAAGCAACTAGAAGCAGGTTCAAGCAAAAGTGCTCAAAAAGCAAATGAGAACACAAGGGTGCAGAGAGTTGGGGAAGGCGGACAGGGAACACTGAAAGGAGTTGAAAAATGCTTCCTTTATTCTTCTTGGCTTTTCCAGACCCAAGACAAGTTCTTGAGGACACATGTCAAATGCCATAGTACTTCCTTATCTCTAGTCAAAACAAAACACGTAAAAAATTTCCTCTTCCATTCTGTACTTTCAATAAAAAGCCAGAAGGTATTACTGAGATGTGCCGGCTTGGGAGAAATTAAAACTGGGACATGAAGTGAGGCCGCTCGCTGTCCAGCCTCCGGGTCAGGATTTCACAGCCAGTGTCCGTGACCAGCAGGGTGTGCTCAAACTGAGCAGACCGCTTCCCATCTCTCGTCACCGCGGTCCAACCGTCTGGCCAGGTTTCATCCTGCCATCCACCTTAAACAAACAGAAACAATTTCTTTATTCCATCACTTAGTTTTCTTTTTTTTTAAAGATTTTATTTATTTATCTTTAGAGGGGAAGGGAAGGAGAGAGGGAGAGAAATATCAATGTATGGTTGCCTTTCGTGTGTCCCCTGCTGGGAACCGGCCTGCAACCCAGGCATGTGCCCCGACCGGGAATCAAACTGTGATACTCTGGTTCGAAGGCCCACGCTCAATCCACTGAGCTACACCAGGCAGGTACTAGTTTTCTAAATAAGCTCTAGGTAAGTGTATCTGTGCATCCTATGTCACTAGATATCACAGAAAGCCAATTAGAAAATTCACTATTAAGATTTCTATTTACACTTCAAGTAAGTTTTAGCTAAAGCCTTTGATGATACTTAAAATTTACATCAGATGTGTTTTAACTTGACATGTTTTATACTTCCCAAATATCAAATCAAGACAATATTTCCAAAATAAAGGCACTGGGTTGGGGTTTGATTTTAGAAAGTATATTAACACCACTCATCACGGACATACAAGAAAAAAAATGAATGAATGAATTCAGCTCTTTCCCGGTCTAACTCTGGCATCCTACTAAACTATAACCAGCATTAATATAGATTACCTCACTTAATGCTTATTACCGCAGTCCTCGGGAGCTGGCAAGATACAAACTGTAATTTCCATTTTACAGAAACAAAGGCAGCCTCTCAAATGATCTCCACTGCTCCCTTCTGCCACATGAGTGTGGGCTGGACTTAGAGACTCACTTCTGAGGAAGAGAATCTGGTAGAAGCAACAGGATGTTTCTCCCAAGATTAAGTTATAAAAAAAAGACTGGAAGGATCCAAAGAGAGGTATATCCTTTCCTACACAGCCCTGGACACACTACCTACTGCTACTGCCTCACTTTGCATCCCCTACTCCCAACAAAGAACTGGGAGAAAAGAAAGGTGAAGGCTTCGTGAAGCAAACCCAAGTTCTCACTGACACCTCAGTGAGGAGCACTAATTGTAACTCTGAGTCTGTCATCAGTGCCACATGCCTATCACAAGGAAAAACCACAGTGAGGTCATAAAACTGCCAGCGCTAAGTGTGTGCACGCACTGTGCTTTCTCCCCAAGAGCTGCACGACACCACCCGATGACTAGTGTCGACCCTGAAGAAGCAGAACACAGCTCAGGACGTTGGAGTCCAACAAAATCCGCCACGTAACTTGCTAAATGACTATAGGCAAGTTTCGTAACCTCTTTAAAAATCAGTTTGCTCCTCTGTAAAATGGGGACAGCATCTACCTTCTAACTTGTGGGCAATTGAAGCATTTGACTTTGTCTGCCTCAAAGTGAGTGGGTCTACTTTTCTCCTCCTCTCCACCCCCCAATCTAGCCCACATGTCAAGCAAGAATGTCTACACAGGCTCGATGGAGGTGTCTAACGATTACAATGCAGGTCCTGGCTGGGCAGCTCAGTTGGTTCGTGTGTCGCCCTGACACGCTAAGGGAGCCAGTTTGATTCCTGGTCAGGGTGCACACAAGGAGCAAGCCATGAGTGCACAGGTAAGTGGAACAATAAACTGATATTTCTTTCCCTCTCTCTCAAGTCAATCAATTAAAAAATTAAAGATTAATTATGACAATGCACCCTTTGCTAGGATCTTTATGAAAAGGGACCCAGATTTAAGTACTTTGGCATCTACTGGCAACAGGAGAGAACAGTACTTCTCTGTCAATCCTTACAATGATTAGTTCTCTACATGGTGCTAAATCCAGTTGCGACAGGACAGGGAGTGGAAGTGAAGCAAAAAGTAAATAGAACAGAATACTAACTTGTGCACTGGTAACCAAAAATAAATACAAATTCAATTAAAGAACACGTAGCATCCTTTGTTCTCACCTTCACAAATCATTGGCTCAATTGTAAATATGTGGCCCGCCTTCATCACTCCAACTGCTTTATTTTCTGAAATTAAAGAAATAAAAAAAAAATCTCAAAACATAGTGTAGTTTTAAAAAGCTCACTGGAAAGTATAACTATATTCCCCTCAGTCATTTCTTAATTACCTTCTCTCCTGGTCTACCTTTTTATAAGGTAAATCATTCAACAAATGATAAACACCTGCTTTAGAACAGATGCTGTCCTAGGTACACTTCATTCTGCTTATGTTTTCTCTAGGAAAATACACAGATATCCGTAGTCTGAATTTTCGATGTGATTATCGCTTTTACAAAAGGAAAATTCCACAAATTTATGTTACAGCAGGAGCAGAATCACAGTCCTAGACCCGAAGTCCCCTGCTCACTCACTGAGGTGTGATGCCGAAGGGCGTGTGTGGATGCGCAGCGGGAGCTGGGGCACAGCCCACAGGAACAACTGCATGCTCTCTCCAAGTTTTGTGGTTGACTTCTTATAACTTTAAAGGGGAACAAAGTCTCTGAATACTAACCTATCTATTTTTAATGGTGACATGACTATTCCTTTTTATTTGAAATTGGAAATTCCATTTCTTCCCTCCAAATACTGTTTTAGCTCTTTGTCCAAGTTCACTAATAAGAGTATTTTTCAGGACCATCATGAGAAATACAACTATGAATTAAAGTGTCCGGATCTGCCACCTGCCCCCCCCAAAAAAGGCCAAAATTAAAAATATGGATAGGCCTTTTTAGATAACCTCAGACAAAAAGGAATAACCTATTTCAAATTAAATTAAATTTCAAATTAAAAAACAATTGAGGGACTTCCGGCAAAGATGGAAGGATAGGTAGATACACTTTGGCTCCTCTCACAACCAATTTAAAAACAAAAATAATCATAACTGCCAGAAAATCGAACTGTATAGAAGTCTGACAACAAAGGAGTTAAAGAAGAAACATTCATCCAGACTGGTAGGAGGGGCGGAGGTGGGCAGCTGGGATGCAGAGGACTCCCGGCAAAATGGTCCCACATTTATATGAGGTTAAACCAGGAGGAAAAACTGGGGACCAGGACAGACTGTGCAACCCAGGGTTCTGGTATGGAGAAATAAAGACTCAAAATTTCTGACTAAAAAAATCAGTAGGGCTTGAGGCAGCAGGAGAAACTCCCAGCCTCACAGGAAAGTTTGTTGGAGAGACCTTCAGGGTACTAGAACTGACACAAACACACTCACGCGGAAATCAGCACCGGAAGGCCACAATTTGCTTGTGGGTAGCAAGGGAAAGTGATTGAAAGCTAGCTGAGAGCTGAACAAGTGGCACAGTTCCCTCTCAGACCCCTCCCCTGAATACAGCACCACAATACATCCATGTGGGCTGCCCCTCCCTGGCAAATACCTAAGGCTCCACCCCTTACTACATAACAGGCCTGCTAGGACAAAGAAATATGGTCCAAATGAAAGAACAGATCAAAGCTCCATAAAAAATACAACTAAGTGACTAAGAGATAGCCAACCTCTCAAATGCAGAGTTCAAAACACTGGTAATCAGGATGCTCACAGAAATGGTTGAGTATGGTCACAAAATGGAAGAAAAAGTGAAGGCTATGAAAAATGAAATAAAAGGAACCAATAGTGAAGGGAAGGAAACCAGAATTCAAATCAACAGTTTGGAGTAGAAGGAAGAAATAATCATTCAACTGGGACAGAATGAAGAAATGAGAGTTCAAAAAAATGAGGAGAGGCTTAGGAACCTCCAGGACAACTTTAAACGTTTCAACACCCAACTCATAGGGGTGCCAGATGGAGAAGAGCAAGAAATTGAAAACTTATTTGAAAAAATAATACAGGAGAACTTCCCCAGTCTGGCAAAGAAAATAGACTTCCAGGAAGTCCTGGAAGCTCAGAGAGTCCCAAAGAAGTTGGACCCAAGGAAGCACACACAAAGGCACATATAATTACATTACCCAAGATTAAAGATAAAGAGAGAACCTTAACAGCAGTGAGAGAAAAGGAGGCAGTTACCTACACAGGAGTTCCCATAGACTGTCAGCTGATTTCTTAAAAGAAACCTTGCAGGCAAGAAGGGGCTGGAAAGAAGTATTCGAAGTCTTGAAAGACAAGGACCTATGCCCAACATTACTCTGTCCAGCAAAGCTATCATTTAGAATGGAAGGGCAGGTAAAGTGCTTCCCAGATAAGGTCAAGTTCAAGGAATTCATCATCACCAAGCCCTTATTTTATTATATGAAATGTTAAAGGGATTTATCTAAGAAAAAGAAAATAAAAATACAAACAGTAAAATGGCAACAAACTCACAACTATCAAAAACCTAACCTAAAAAACAAAAACATAAACATAAACAAAAATGAGCTAAGCAAACAACTAGAACAAGAGGAAATTCACAGACACAGAGATCATATGGGGGGATATCAGTAGGGAGAGGGGAGAATGGGGGGAAAGGTACAGGGAATAAGCAGCATAAATGGTAGGTAGAAAATAGACAGGGGGAGGTTAAGCATAGTACAGGAAATGGAGAAGCCAAAGAACTTATGTGTATGACCCATGGACATGAACTCAGGTGGGGAAATGATGGGTGGGTGGGGGGTACAGGGTGCTGGGGAAGAAAGAGGAAAAAAAATGGTACAACTTTAATAGCACAATCAATAAAATATATTAACAAATAAATTAAAAGTACATTAAAATGACAGAAAACAACACTGTTTTCACATGACAACAAAATTAAAAGTTAAAAAGTAAAACGAACAAAAAATAAAGGTTAACAGCCCCAATAAATGAATGCCTGCATTTACTTGTCCTGACCAGCAGATGGCAAAGCATGGCTTTCATGGTTTTTTTGGTCTGGTTGTTGGTCTTCATGACGGTGAGTTTGGTCATCAGTAACATGTGTCCACTGTGGCTAAATTTACTAAACACCACATGTTCTAGTGTGGTCCAGCCTCACCCACATCTTTCTTTGTGATAGCTATTATGCCGCTTTCTACTACCTTAGGTATTGCCAAAATCTGAGGAGCAACATAATTTTGACATTTCATTTCTAATCTTATCAACTTTCTCTTCTAATGACATGCAATTAATTACAACATACACATAACTAGTAGTAATCCCTTGAGCCTATCAAAAACAGAACATGCATGTCAGTATGGTGTCACGGAAAAAGTTGAGCTGTCAGCTACAGCAGCACTGGCTGCACATAGCTGCTGGACACTTGAAACGTGACCAGTCAGTGAGACATGCTGTAAGTGGTAAAACTAATGCCAATCTCAAACACAAAAAAGCATATCATATGTATCAATAACTTTTACATTCATAAAATGTTGAAATGGTAGTATTTTGAATGGGATAGATGAAAGAAAATACGTTATTATTTTCACCCACTTCTTTTTACTCTGTGAATATTAGCACTGGAAAGTTCTAAATTACACACATGCCTCATCAATTCTATTGGATAGCACTGGCACGGAGAACCTGAGACCCACCCTATTTCCGCCACAGGCTCACTGCTCTAGGAGAGTCAGAACTCCCACGCACCTTGACTCATGGTCTCAGTTTCTCCACGTATCTCACTCAACCAATACACGTTACCTGAGTAACTACACTACTGCAGACACCGTGCTAAGTACTTCTCAAAAAATTTATACCTGCTCTATCATCTACCTCACAGAATTATTGTAATATGCATCCTAAATGTAGGGTATTGTCATCATGACTTTCCAAACATTTATAACTTAAAGAACCAAACGAACTCTCATCTAATAAGGACTTCTGGGATATAGAATGGGGTGGAGTTGTTTAGATGACCATTTCCTGGTTCCACCCCCAGCTAATTAGGAATATGGAGTCACAAACCAATGCACAGATCATTTACATTTTCAAAAGGTCTCTGCTGCACAAAGACTCTCCCAGAAGTTTCCTCTAACACTTCCCTACAGTGATCACAACATATTCTGATTTATATGAACCACGTGACTTTACATAAACATACCAAATGAATGAAATGAAGCAAACCTAACTCACCCTTGGATTCTTTTTTTTTAGAATTCAAAAAAATTTCGAATTAAAGGGTTAAAAAAAAACAACAAGTGACATCTCTTGTACATCAGTGGCACCCTATTTTGCTGACCCCAACATCTCTGACGCATCTCCTCCTCTCACAAATTCTATCTTTTTCGGTCTTTCTTTATATAATCCATACCTAAACCTGAGCCTCTCACTTCTGCAAGTAAGGGCACTTTTTCCATCCCCCTCCACCTCCCTGCACACACTCTTTTTATCAATGCACAGGCAAGGAATGCTATAATCACAATATCTACTTCCATTCTAACGGAATGCACATCAGCTGATTTACAAGGTTTACCGGGAAGGAATGAAGTCAATTAATTTTCTGCTACTAGCCTTGTTTCAAGCACAATTCACAGCTTTAATAAAAAGAAACAAACAAAGAACTACAAGGTCTGCTAATAAATGCTTACTGATCTATATCAAATGCTGCAATCTAAACAACTTCTTCAGCTCCTCCTGTTAAGTCGTTTCTCACTCATTTCCCTTCCTCTTCAAAACTATCAATGTCTAGGACTCGAGCAATTCACTGCACTGTGCATGGGCCGACTAGTGACATAGGTCCCCATCTCCAATACATTCTAGATACCAGTGCCAGATTTGTCTGTCCAAAACAGCATCTTCCCCTTGCCATTCCTCTGCCCAAAAATGTTTCTGAAAACCCCTACAGATAAAGTCAAATACTGTCTGGCTGGCAGTGTTTATTCCTAGTTCCTAACACACAGAATACTGAGACAAGCTCATACTGTCTCTGCTCAGTCTCAACATGCTTCCCCTCCACCTGGATCGCTCTTGCTCATCTTCTCAGTCAAACCAAATCTCAGCCATTCTTTATTTCTCCCAAAGGACCCAGCACCAAATGCTTCAGTCTTTCCGAGACAGCGCAAAGTACAGAAGACTGACTCTAAGAAAGCCAGACAAAAGCCAGGTACAAATCCTGGCTCTGACACGTATTTATTAGTTTATGTGAAGTGAGTAAATAAATTACTTCTCTAAGCACAGAATATGCTTTTTAAAACAGAGCTAAAAAGTCAGGCAAAGAGTTGTGATGATCAAATAAGATAAGGTAGAAATTCTCAACCTTTTTCATCTCGTGGCACACAAACTCATTACTAAAACTGTCACACACAAAAATTTTTTTGCTGATCACACAAAAAGTAGATATAATTTTGATTCATTTATAAGAAAAAAAATAGTTAACTACCTACCCTTTTTGCTCCAAAGAGACTTTTTAAAAAATTGGGTGACTATACCTGTGTGTAAGGCTTTCTGGTTCTAAGAACTAACCAATCAGACAGAACCTTATCATGCAACATGATCAATTAAGGATGCAACTCAATTATATGACCTACATATTTATGATTCACAACAGAGCATTCACACCAGACAGCTATTGTATTGACTGTTGACAGTTTTTTATTTGACAATCTAAGGGAAAAGAGGTCAGTGCCTCTGACTAAATAGTCAGGTTTGCATGTTTTAAAAATTCTTGAAGCACACCAGTTGAAAATCGCTGATAATATATATCACTACCATCACTATTCTTTCTCTAAGTTATTATTAAGTGCTTTCTATGTTAAAATATCTGACTTAATCCTAATGAACAATTCTAGGGTAGGTGCCAGCCATTCCCCACTACTACTGTACAGATGAGAAAACTTAAGTACAAGGAAATATATGAAAGTGTCTATTATAGCAGTGGCTCATAAATGTAATTGTTAAATTCCTTCTCAGGTCACCTACTGTGAACAGCTTTCATTTCCAGCGCTAAATAACAACTTATTCTTATATGTCTTATATCTCCAAGAAAAAAGGCTTCTGGAAGACACTGATTGTCCTACACTTCCTTTGTCACTCTATGAGACAGCACTCAACTTGAGGAAAGACACTCTGTGTATTGTGCTCTATTTATACTAACAAATAATATGTATCTGACGTACACTAAAAACTCAAGTCAAACCAAGATGAACCCATTTCACTTAAGGAATCAGAATAGCTATGTAGCAGACTGTTGGCTATTCACCAGAATTAGTTTGCTTTTCTTCCAGAGTACTCAGCTAACATTCCTAACCGCCCTTGCAGTTAATATAGCCATGTGACTAAATTCCTGCCAATAGAAAGTAAATGTAAGTGATTATCGCAATTAAAGGCTGACTCGCTAAAATCTCCCAAGACCCCTCCACGCTTCCCCTCTTCCACCCATACCTATAAATTAGGAGGGCAATTCTCAAAGTGATCTTGAAAGCTACAGGTTGAAAATGACAGAGCATAAGTCACAGAATAACTGCCCTAGCCCCACAGTGACCAAATACACATGCTTTGAACTGTTGCTGAACAACACGAATGTATGAATACCTACCGTGTGAGAGCAACTCTACAGGCCCGGCTGAATATTTAAAAACATTTGTTAGCAAATACCAGATGTTTGGAGAGTACTTACTGGCATAGTGAGGTACATTGGGGGCCGTATGAAAAAGTTTATGAATTCCATGACCACAGTAGCTTCGAACAACTGAAAAGCCATTTGCTTGGGCATGTTTCTGAATAATGTTTCCCAATTCTCTGTATCGAACGCCAGGTTTCACTAAAAGGGAAAGAGAAGATTTATGAAACAGTAACAATAACTAACAGGTACAATATAATTACTTATCCATGTGCCAGGAACCCTTCTGAATGCTTTAGAGGCTTATGTGCTGAAACCTTCAGATGTAGAAACCCAGGCATAGAGAGGCTATTCTGGCAGTACATGGCAAAGCTGCAATTCAGACCATTACCACCTCTACTTCCTCTTTTGATGTGTAAAAGGCTCACGTGCATATAGTAAATGGGGGGAGGCATCTGTTGCTTTCTGAATAAATGAGAGAATGGAAAAAAAACACTTCTCTTCCTCTCCTTCCCTAAGGTCAAGTGTGCTATTCTATTGAAGTGAGCAGAAGAGATTGAGAGGAAAGAGCATCAGGAGAAAAAGGAATGTCCATAAAGTAACTTGACTTGTCCCGAGTTTCAGTCTCTTATCAACTCCTCAAAGAATTACGTCCTTGGGGCTTCCTTCTCCTCATAAGAGTGGTTTTCAAATTACTCATAGTTGCTTCTAGGGGTAAGGTACAGAAAGGTACTTCTCACTAGCACACACTTCCTACTTCATTAATTTTTATGAATTACTTCTGTTTCAATAATAACCAAAACAACCAAGGTGATTCTAGTTGCTTCTGCAGCTCTCCTAGCACTGAGACCCCTGGGAAATGCAGCCATGGTTCTGGGGGTCCTCTGACTCCCTAGTCCCCCTACCTGAATGGACCTCATTTCCAACCTGAGGTTCAGGTACATTATCTTTTCCAGCCAATCAAATTTCTGGGCAAATAGCTCAAGAATTCATTTTAATTAACATTTACTTGCTCTTAACCAGATGTTCCAAGTTGACATTTTTGAGTGGAAGGAAAGTTAGTGATTTTGAGGAACCATGCTGACTTTTGTAAAATTTTCTTGCACTCCAATTCAAGCCTTCCTATCAGTCCCAGACAATGGGAAGAAAAGCAAAATTTTAACCCATGTTGCACACAGTATGAAGAACATCCCTTTTCATCAATAATGAGGGACAATGAAAGGGAATATTTCTCCCGAACTCTCAAAGTAGAGACGGTTCTGGTCCCAAAGGTGCAGAGTAATATCTGGAGATGTTTTTGGATGCTACAACTAGGAGTGGCGGAGCAAAGGGCACAGAGCAGGTACAGACCAGGGATGCTACCAGGGAACCTCCAATGCTCAGAACCCTAAAACAAAGAATTATCAAATTAAAAATGCCATTAATGTGCATGCTGACAAACCCCATTCCAGAAGGCTAATTCCAACACCTGGCCAAGCTCTCCAATGCTCTGCACCTTGGTGAGCAGCCAAATGAGTGAACAATAGGGCAGGAATGATTCACACAAAAGTATTTGGTGCCTTCCAGAGATTAAGCAACTTTTGTTCTTTTCTGGCTATGTTATAATGACTTTGGTTTCTGGTAGTTTGTTGGCAAGTTTCTTCCCTAAGTCTCTAAAATATTTCAACTATCTGGTTATTTCAATCAACTCAGAGAAAGGCAAAAAAGAATATAAACTTTGAACACATTATCTGGTACGAACCCTAACAATTACTGAAAACTAAAGTTTCCACAAATGAGACACTGAATACCAAAGTCCTCACCTCACAATATCACCAGGAATATTAAAGTATTTTAATAACAGTGAATATATAAAAAGAAATGATACACGGAAATATCACATGCTTTCATTTTTCAATCCTCCAACTTGATTAAATTAGTAAAAATTTCATTATCTCCCATGCATGTTAAATGCACTAAAGACAATAAAGACAATGGATCTGGACTTCTGGCCAAGATGGAGGCACAGGTGGAAACACCGTGCCTCCTCGCACAACCAAAAGTAAGGACAGCAAAGATTTAGAAACAAAAACACATCCAGCACAGACAGAAAACTAAACTGTACGGAAAGTCTGACAACCATTCAACCAGACTGACAAGAGGGGCAGAGTTGGCGGCTGTCCCAGAGGGGTCACGGCAGGAAAAGGCAGTGGCTGCCAGACCCCGGAGTGCAGGTGGCACAGGGCTAGGAGACCCCGAGGGCAGGGAGGAAACAGAGTGCACAGGGCGGCTGGCTGACCAAGATCACACTTTGGCCTAGTTCACACACATGAACTACACAGAGACAGGCAGCAGGGGGCAGCATGGGGCAGCAGGGCAGACCACACAGCCCAGGACCCCAGCTACAGGAGATGAAGCCTAGAAGCACTGATTGAAAGGTGCTGGGGGAGACTCCCAGCCTCATGGGGAGTTCGTTGGGGGGGGACCCACAGGGTCCTAGGTTGTGCACAGGCCCACCCACTCACCAGGGAACCAGCACCAGAGGGGCCCACTTTGCTTGTGGGAAGTGGCAGAGGAGACTGGGATCCTAGAGAGAGCAGAACAGGCACCATTGTTCCCTCTCTGATCCCGCCCCCAAATACAGCGTCACAACCCAGTGATGTGTTGCCCCTCCCATGGTGAACACCTAAGGCTCCGCCCCTCACTAAGTAACATGAGCCATCTGACCAAAAATTATGGCTCAAACAAAAGAACAAATCAAAGCCTCAGAGCCAATACTTTTAAGCAACCAAGAGATGGCCAACCTATCAGATGCACAGTTCAAAACATTGGTAATCAGGACACTCACAGAACTGATTAATTTTGGTCACAAATTAGATTTAAAAAAAAGAAGGATACACTAAGTGAAATGAAGAAAAATGCACAGGGAACCAATAGTGATGGGAAGAAAACAGACTCAGATCAATGGAGTGGACCAGAAAGAAGAAAGAAACAATCAAACAGAAAAGAATGATGTAACAAGAATTCAAAAAAAAGAAGGAGAGGCTTAGGAACCCCCAGGACATCTTTAAACGTTCCAACATCTGAATTATAGGGGTATCACAAGAGGAAGAAGAAGAGCAACAAGTGGAAAACTTATTTGAACAAATAATAAAGGAGAACTTCCCCAATCTGGCAAAGGAAATAGATTTCCAGGAAGTCCAGGAGCTCAGAGAGTCCCAAAGAAGTTGGATCCAAATAGGAACATACCAAGGCACATCATAATTACATTAGCCAAGATTAAAATGAAGGAGAGAATTCTAGAAGTAGCAAGAGATAAGGAGACAGTCACCTACAAAGGAGTTCCCATCAGACTGTCTGCTGATTTCTCAAGAGACCTTACAGGCAAGAAGAGACTGGAAAGAAATATTCTAAGTCATGAAATCCAAAGATCTACAACCAAGATTGCTCTATCCAGCAAAGCTTTCATTTAGAATGGAAGGGCAGATAAAGTGCTTCTCAGATAAGATCAAATTCAAGGAGTTCATCATCACCAAGCCCTTATTTTATGAAATGTTAAAGGGATTTATCTAAGAAAAAGAAGATAAAAAATATGAACAGTAAAAGGACAGCAAACTCACAGTTATTAACAACCACACCTAAAACAAAAGCAAACTAAGAAGACAGCTAGATCAGGAGCAGAACCATAGAAATGAAGATCACATATAGGTTTAGCAACGGGGGAGTGGGAGAAGAAGAAGGGGGGAGAAGGTACAGAAAATAAGCAGCATAGATGGTAGGGAGAAAATAGGAGGAGGGCAAGAGTAGTGTGGAAAATGTAAAAACTAAGGAATTTATGACGCATGGACATAAACTAAATGGAGGGAATGTGGGTAGGTGGGGGTGTGCAGGGTAGAGGGGAATGAAGAGTGAAACTGGACAACTGTAATGGCACAATCAATAAAATATATTATTAAAAAACAATGGATCTGTTACTAAAGATAACTATATGTTTAAGCCAAGAATCTTGTCCTATCCAATACTTTGTTGATGACAGATAATGGTTATTTTATTTTTTGGGGGTGGTGGAGTGGCTGTGGAGGGATATGCAAACAAAACACTGAAAAATAGAGCTGAAATGCTGTGGATTTCAACTGAAAATTGTTTGCCCTCAAACTATCCTATTTGGTAGGATTAGGATTAACATTTGCAATAAGACTTTCCTTCTCTCTCTTCACAAGCTAAAGCATAAACAAAAAACGTGGATGAACTGTATGGACAAAGAGAGACTGAGAAAAATCCTACAGAAATACATATCTACCCAAAGATATTATTCCTTATAATAGCAAGGCATCTAGAAAACATAAAAATCCAATAAGAGAATAGTTGTAGAAATTTTTATTTTATGGAATAGACAGCCATTAAAAGAATGTGGTAGCCTTGGCCAGGTGGTTTCTTAGTTGGAACACTGTCCCACACACCAAAAGGTTGTGGGTTTGAACTCCAGTCGGGGCACATACAGAAAGCAACCAACTGATGCTTCTTTTTCTCTCAAGTCAATAAACATATCCCCAGGTGAAGATTAAAAGAAAAAACATTTTTAAAAAGAATGCACCCTGACTAGTGTGGCTCAGTGGGTTGGGAAATCATCCTCAGAACCAAAAGGTCACCAGTTTGATTCCAGGTCCAGGGCACACGCCTGGGTTGTAGGCCAGGTCTCTAGATGGGAACATGCAAGAAGCAAGAGATTGATGTTTCTCCCCCTCTTTCCTCTTCCCTTTCCCTCTCTAAAAATAAAAATAAAATCTTTAAAAAAAATAAGAGAATGCATGTACATACATATGCTAATTTAGAAAGATCCCTAGGCGTTATTAGCTAAAAAGTACCCAATTACAGAATACTACAAATATCAGAGTTCCACTTATCCTCACTAAACATATACACAGAGGTATATATGCGTGTGTGTGTGTGTGTATTAATGCATAGAGGAGGAAAAAATGTGTTGAAAGTTTGTAACTCCAGAGAAAAGAGATATAAAAAAGAAAGAAAAGGGGCAAGCATAAAAAAGACACATTCATTTTTCCTTCATAATCTAGCCTTGTGTTTTAGTTTTCATGGGAACATAATATTTATGAAAGAATAAAAAAATAGGAGAAAGTTTACTCTCAAGAACTATCCATACATTCCTCCTCATCTATCAAAGAAAGATAAATCACATGAGACAAAGAACAATAGTAATTATTCAGTCCATCCTCATCGAGGGATCCCAAATCTTTTTTCCACAATTACTATGAAAACCCAAAGCTTCCTCAGGTGAGTGGGAGGCAAAGCCTGGCAGGGAAAGGAATGCCCAGTGCAGTGAGGAGTCATTAAAGACCCATCAACACATGGCAGTTCCAGCGGGGCCCAGATTGGCTGACCTGCGTCGATGGCTTGCATCAGGCACTCATATGTAGTCTGAACCAGCTTCCGTGCTACCTCATCCACATCTCCAACAAAAAACGTCTCATTCAGGTCTCCGTGATAACCATTGCGGTAAACAGTGATGTCCACTACAAAAGAATGTGCAAATATAAAGACCACATTTGTTTTTATTTCAAAACTGAAGTCATTTCTCCAACATGACAGCATCAAGCAGCTTTATGAAAAAGATAACTTCTGCATTCTCGAATTAGATCCCAATGGATATATAGTCACTATGTGGTAGGCACATTTATCTACAATGCAACTAAGCTCACTGTGGAGGACAGAGACATGGTCATGCAGCGCAGAGTCAGATGGGGGGCTTTTATATACTCTTATAAAGTAGTAATCAGATCATTTATGGCAGAAGAAAAATATATTCAGGATACAGTCATGCAAGACCAGTAACTTGAATTAGTGACATTAAATGGAAAACTGCAACATTTGACATTAAACAGAAAATACTGCTTTAATTTATTATCTGCAACCATTTTTTCCCTCCTCCCAGGGAATCATAAACTATTCTTTACTTATTTTTCAAAAACTCATTTGCCTTTCACTTCTTTGTAAGTATTCATCCTTCTGTGTCCCCATGTTTAAGAATACAGGTTACTGCTACACAGGATAACACATTAAATGTACACTAGAGAGCACACTAAATGAGTATTTTTAAACCATGAATTTTCAATCAACCTACAACATCAGAGTACAGGTGGGCTGGCTCTAGCACAATACACACATCCCTAAAAACCTCACATATCATGCATGTCATAAATAAAAAGACTTATATGAAAATCATGGTTGGACAAATCCCTCAAAACCTAGGGAAGTTCATAAACAGATACATTAACTAAAGCAGTAACAACCCAAATAAAAACAGTGTCTCCACTATCATTCACAGCCAGCATCACCGTCAGTGCATTGTGTGCAGCCTTTAACACTTGGGTTCACACCTCCTCATTTGATATGTGGGTCCTTGAAGATGCCAGATTACTAAAGAGACTAAGATCATCAACATTAAAAATACTACATTGGCCGAAAAGTTCTTTTGGCTTTTTCTGTAAGATGGCTCTAGTAGCACTTGTCTCAACTTCATTAGAAACAATTTTGTTAGATAGCATTGTGACAGCTGTCATATCAACATACACTTAAAAAAATCAAAATTGATGAATTTTTATATAGCAATTTTAATATTGAAGATGGAAGAAAATACATAGTATTTTGGGAATATTATGCTTTATTATTTTAAGAAAGGTTAACATTGCAACTGAAACAAAAAAGATTTGTGCAGTATATGGAGAAGGTGCTGTGACTGATTGAACACATCGAAAGTGCTTTGCAAAGTTTCTGCAGATTTCTTGCTGGACGATGCTCCACCGTTGGGTAGAGCAACTGAACTTGATAGGGATCAAAGTGAGACATTAATTGAGAACAGTCAACATTACACCATGTGGGAGATAGTCGACATACTCAAAATATGCAAATCAATAAAGTTATTGCTAAAAATAAAGAATGTGTCTTTTATCTTACAGAAAAAACTAAACCAACTTTTTGGCCAACTCAATACCATCTAGGGAAGCCCTTTTCATCAGTTTTTTAAAAAAATCACAGAGGAAAACATCTGGGCGGCTTCTTCCTCTACATTTGCAGCTTTCCAAGACAGCTTAACTTCTTACATGAAGGAAGGCACTTCTGCAGGATTTTTAGTTTTTCCTTAAAGTCTTCATATACTACTCAAGATTTCTCTTTCTCTTCAAGAAAGCCTGCCCTGAACTCATTCCAAATAATTAGTGGACTAAAAAAAAAAAAAAAAAAAAAGGTAAAAAATCCCACTTGAACATTACTCCCACATTTCACTGACATATTTATTAATTATGTGAGATAATGTACATTAAAGAAATACAGGCTATAACAAATGCATCATATTAGAAGTATCTTAAACCACAAAAAAAGGATTCTGCAGATTTAAGATTTAAAATTTTAAATATGGAAAAAAATATTAAAGACAGGAAGTGAAGGAAATCAAGCCACTATCGAACTCCCTAGACCTTATTGTTTCTTTGCTCCTGGACATATTTCTTACCGTTAACAATATCACCTTCTTGCAAGGGCCGTCTGTCTGGAATCCCATGACAGATCACTTCATTCACTGAAGTACAACAAGACTTTGGGAAATTATAGTAATTCAAGGGAGAAGGATAGCAGTTTCTTGCAATGCATGCCTACAATACATTAAAATACAAAGAAAATAATTTGGAATGTATAAAAGAAAAAAATTTCATCTTGTGCAATTAACCCGATTTTAAAATTTAAAAACTGAAAATTTTGCAGTGCAGGTGCTATTAATGAAGAATTTGCTCAATTATTTTAATTTTAGAAACAGCCGTATTTTTATCAGTCCACAGGCTGTAGGCAAACCAGTTTACTGATAATAGTAAAGGAAAAGCAAATTTACATATTATATATGTAAATATGAAGACTGTAGTTTAGAATTAACTACTTAAGGAAAATATATTATTTCAAATAAAAAAAGATAAAGCAAATATTAAAATGCACTTTAAAAGTAATTATAATTTCTTATAGAAAAACCCAATATTCTTACAACTAAAAAAAAGGAATACTAATATAATTAAGATAAAGTATTTCACTACATCCATGTGGAACAACAGAAGAACCTCTAAGAAAATGGTCTGGTTTTCCATAACAAGTCCTATTTTACTATAAGATAATTTTTATGAAGTGGCAGTCATAGTATATGCAATTTTTTGCCATAAAGTCTTCAGATTAACAATTTTTAAACAGTTTCATGTAACACAAGTTTATTTAAGAACTTGTTTAAGTTTTACAGCTCTAAAACATTTAATAATGTAAAAAAATTTCAAAGCATAAAAGTAAAATCCTTACTAAGTGTACAGCATGATCTATTTCTTCAGTAGTTACACCTGGTTTAATCATCCCAGCAGCAATATCCAGTACTTCTCTAGCAAGCTGTAAAAGAGAAACCCTTAATACTTAGCCCATTAATAAAGAAATAAAATGAAAGTGGAAATTTGTACCCTCTGCACTGTAACAGATTTTCTGAGAGATTCATAAAGTGCATCTCACTTTGAATATTACAATCCTGAATCTCCATTATAAAAACCAGTTGTATTTCTAATGCTCATCAATAAACGTGTAAATATATAACTAAAAGTGGACTAACTAGTAAATAGCTCAATAAATTTGATTGATTTCTGTGGAAAAACATACATAAGTAGTTTAAACAATGACCAGGTGGTGGAGGTTCAGTCCTGTCATATGTTTCTTATAATGGGGAAAAGAAGGGAAATAAAAGAATACATGAATGATTTTCCTCAAAGAATCATAATACATAGTGATAGAAATATAAATTTCTCCAGATTATCAAAGAAAGTTTGTATCAAATCACTTTAAAGCACTAAATAAAAACTTTAAGGGTCATTTCCAAATAAACACTATCAATTTTTCAATTTTTTCCTTAGAAAAATGTGGACATGTGACTTCACTTAGCCACTAATATCACACTGTACAGGTGTTTTAGCTTAACAGGAGTTTTAGCCTAACTTTATATAAATCTTAAACTCTGCCCTATGTTCCAGTGACCTGTGAAATAAAATGACATCATAAAAACCTGGTTCTTCGAAAAAATAATACAAGGGGTAATAAAAATAAATTCTCGACTAAATATATATTTTCTGCCATACTGATTTTCAAACAGGACACTTAAGTATAAAACAACTGTTGCACAGAATTATATACTGACAAGTTTTAAAAAAGTATTGGGTTGGCCAAATAGTTCATTTAGTTTTTCCTGTATGATGGTTCTAGTAGTGCTTAGTTAGTTGTTTTAACTTCATTTGAAACAATTTTGTTAGACTGTATTATGACAGCTGTCATATGTGTGCATTTTTAAAAACTTATAAAAATTGGTGTATTTTTGTGCAGCCATTTTAATATTGAAGAGAGAAGAAAATATGCAGCATTTTCAGCATGTTATGCTTTATTAGTTCAAGAAAGGTAAAAATGCAAATGAAGTGCAAAAAAAGATTTGTTCAGTGTATGGAGAAGGTGCTGTGATTGACTGAACATATTAAAAGTGTTTTGTGAAGTTTCTTGGTAGTACTGACATTCTGGCCAAACAATTCTTTGCTGGGGGGCTGTCCTATGCATTGGAATATATTTAGCAGCACCTCTGGCCTCTACCCACTAGAAGCTAATAGTGGAAGATAGCCAACATACTCAAAATATCCAAATCAATAAAGTTACTGGTGAAAATGAAAAAATGTGCCTTATTTTATGGAAAAAAAGTAAACTGATTTTTTGGTCAACCCAGTAAGTATGGCTAGTCATATCCTTACAACATAACATGCCTGCCCTTTGTAAATCAGCAAGTCACTGACTTCATGTCTAACAACTTCTTAAAAGTGTCCTACACCAGGAGGAAAAAAATGCTTACCCTACATACGAGTCGCATCCCTTCTATATCTTCAGATGAGAGTAATTTAATTTGAGAGGTACCTTTAAGAGCCTGTTCAGATTCAGACATTCCTAGGAAGGAAAATCAGTAAGGAAAAACAAATGAATGGAAGAAAAGATGTAGTTATTAGGCATCATTATTTTCCCGATGATATAGTAAGTTTCACTATTTCACACAAGGGTATTTTGTATTTTGGAGGGTCGTGGCCAGATTTTTTGAAAAAATATTTTCAACATAAAAAGGAAATTTGCTAAGTAAACTGAAGTATTCTAAATAACAAATTTCCACATCTATTAGAATTCAGTCCATATGGATTACTTGTTATATGATAGACAGTGTGCTAATAATAAGTTTAGTAAGTGATTCCCATTTAAACAGTAGCACTGAATTTACAAATTGCTTTCATGATTACCACCTCATAATAAAACTATGCACCAGCAACTGAAGAATCAATTACACACATGTATTTTTTTAAAACAGGAAGCTAAGTCAGTGTTTTTCAAGCTGCTGTTGGTAACCTATTAGTGTGTGCTATGACTAATATTTTTAGAGTAAATAAGTAAAATAAAAAATATTAGATTATATCATAACACGGAGTAGGGGTTAAGAGGGGTTAAGTGCTATTGTGAAATGTTTGTGGATTTACACACACTTGCATACACATATACACAGATTGTATTATAAAATATACTTCTTGCTGAGTTACAATGAAAAATATTGCCCTAAAAATCTTCATTAATAAAATTACCTCTTATTCATATATTTAAAAATATTAGAGCCAGTACACTAATCACTTCAAAATCTGACAAAAATAACGTAATATACTAATGTTTTTATAAATGCTGATATAAAAATCCTAATTAAAATATTATTAAACAGAATCCAAGATACATATAATACACCATGACTGAAGTGAGATTCATTTTGCAAAGGCAAAGATAGTTAAATTTTAACATCTAATAATTCATCACTGATTAAGGAAGGAAAAATAAATCACTGATCGTCTAGAAAGTTAACTCTGATAACATGGCCAACACAGTAACTATAGGTCTCAAGCCAAGGACCTACACCGTGGAACGCCACTACCTGCACCACCACTAGTTAACGCTGTCCCCACAGTACCAGCAGTTGTTCAAACAAGAGAAGGAAGTAAGACACACAAATTAGAAAGAAAATAACAAAACCTTTACCAATTTCAGATATGATTACATATCCCTAGAGTAGGACCCCTGGCAAGTTGGCAGATTCTAGGATAACTATGTCAAAATCAGTAGCTTTCCCATATACAAATGAAATGAGCTAGAAGATATAGAAGATAGTATTTAAGAATAACTAAAAAAAATGAAGTATCAAGGAATAAACTTAATGAAAGACCTAATGAAGAAAAAAATTTAATACCACTGGAAAGACATAAAGGAGACTTAAAACAGAAAAGCATACCCTGTTCTTGGATAGGAAGCCTCAATATGGTAAAGGTGTCAATTCTTCCAAAATTAGTCTATAAATTTAATACTATCCCAATAAAAAATGGCAAAAGGATATTTTGGGGAACAAGACATACTGATTCCAAATTTCGTATGGAAAAACAAACATGCAAGAATAGCCAGGAAAATTCTGAAAAAGAGGAAAGGTGAGGGCAACAAGGCCTACCAAATGTTAAAACATTACATGGGTATTATAATTAAGAGTTTGGCAATGGCACATGATTAGACAAATGGATTAATTGAAACAGAATATAATCTGTCCAAAAGCAGACTCACAGACCTGTGAGGATTTAATATAATTATATTGTATAAAATTTTAAATCAACAGGAAAAGGGCAGACATTTTAAATAACTAGTAATCTGAAAACCAGATATTCTTTGGGGGTGGGGGAGTTACAGCCATATTTAATTCTTAATACTAAATAAAAATTGTCACTCATAAAAAGACTAAAACCATAAAAACAGTGGAAGAAAAAAATAGAAAAATATTTTTATAATATCTGAACCAAAATGAATTCCTAGGTCATTAAGCTATAGACACCTTAAAAAATAACATGGATGAATTTTATTACAGAAAAATGCTGAAACAGTATCATAAATGTAATGCTATAAACAGAGACAAAATGTAAATGTTCATTTGGGATAAAACGGTTATAGCACATAACATCAAAGGATTATTTTCCTTAGTATAGAAAGAGTGCTCATCAATCAGGAGGGAAAAACTAGTAACATAATTGAAAAACAAAAGGCTAAGGATGAATAGTTCAAAAAAAAAGAAAATGGTTTTTAGCATATAAGATGTTCCACTTTATTCATAATTTTAAACTATACATTAAAATAACAGCAAAATACCATCTTTCAACTTTCAGGTTAGCACAGATCATAAAGTCTGATAATACACTACTGCTGGGGAAGATAAGGGAAAAGAGACTCCTATATGTTTTTAATGGAAATAACAACTGGCAAAATCTCTAAAATTTGTTTTCTCTCTTAAAATATGAAACACATATATTCTTTGATCCAGTTTTCTTTAGGCAATTAACCTACAGAACTAATCTCATATGCCCCCAAACACATAACTTGAAAGAACGATGACCGCAGTCAAAGAAGTAAAAAATCTGAAAATAATCTAAACACACAGTAGGGGGAGTCTGGTTTAATAAATTATGATATATCCACACAATGAAACAGCTGTCATTAAAAAGAAAAGATGTAGTTTTATGGGTTCCTATGGACCTCTTTACAAGATGCACTAAGAGAATATAACAAGGTGAAAAGGTTCCTATTGTGTCTAACTGGGGAGAGCGGCTGATAGGTGCACACACATAAAATATATCTCTGGAAAGTTCTGCAACTGTTGTTAACAGTTCTTATACCTTTAGGGAAGAGGACTTTCTTTTCCCTGTGTAATATTTTATCATATTAGAATTTACCAGGTCTGTGTATTTTTTAAAATTCTATTTAAAATATTAAATACAAAATAAGGAAATCATTCAGACTATCTTTTTCTTCAATGAATTGGATTGGCCAAAAAGTCTGTTTAGCTTTTTCTATAAAATAAAAGACACATTTTTTATTTTCACCAATAATTTTATTGACTTGGATATTTTGAGTGTGTCAGCTATCTCATGTGTGATATAATGTTGACTGTTCTTAATTAATGTCTCAATTTGATCCCTATCAACTTCAACTGGTCTACCCAACTGTGGAGCATCGTCCAGTGAGAAATCTCCAGCACGACACTTTGCAAAGCACTTTTGACATGTTGGATCAGTCACAGCACCTTTTCCATATACTGCACAAATCTTTTTTTTATTTTGCATTTCGGCTTCATTTTTACCTTTATGAAATAATAAAATTATTATTTTATTATTTTGGCAACATAATGTGTTGAAATGTTGCATATTTTCTTCCATCTTCAATATTAAAATGGCTACATAAAAATCCACCAATTTTGATGTTTTTTTTAAATGCACATGGAGCCCTGGCTGGTGTAGTGCAGTGGATTGAGCACGGGCCTGTGAAGCAAAGGGTCGCCAGTTCGATTCCCAGTCAGGGTACATGCCTAGGTTGCGAGCCAGGTCCCCAGGGGGGGCCACGTGAGAGGCAACTACACATTGATGTTTCTCTCCCTTTCCTTCCCTTCCCCTCTCTCTAAAAATAAATAAATAAAATATTTTCTTAAAAATGCACATATGACAAATGTCACAATACGATCTAACAAAATTGTTTCAAGTGAAGCTAAAGACAGCTAAGCACTATTAGAGCCATCTTATAGAAAAAAACAAATGAACTTTTTGGCTAACCCAATATCTAAAACAGTAAAGTTCTATTCGCAAAATGTAACTGGTTCCACGCTTCTTACAGAACAAAGCACTAGTAGCTTAGTTTAACAGCTTTAACTACACAAATTACTGATATTCAACCCTTTTTGGCAGGCAAAAGCAGTACTTTCACATAATCCAACTTAAATTGTGTCTACAGGCCCGAAGGTCAGAGATTGCTCCACTTCTACTGCAAATTATCTACCTTCTCTGCCTGCCTCACTATCATCATCTACAAAATGAACAAGACAACAGAACCCACCCCAGGAGTGACTATGTGAGAATTTAGGACAGTGCCTGACACACAGTTATAAAAAAAATAGTTACAGAATCAGCATCATTATTACTACTGTAATTATTATCATTACTGCCGGTTCTATTACTGCTAAAGTCCGGTCTTTAATTAGGCATTTTAGGCCTCCACAATCTGTGTTTATTTATTTAATTGAAGTAACAGGACATATTAAAATCAAATTTTTTTAAACCTAGAATTTGATATAACACATAATATTATGTTGCATGTAGTCTTTAACATCTAAACAATGTTTTCACAATGATTTCTTGGAAGAAAAGAATCTTTAATCTTCTCAAATGTAAAAGCCATATTTACATTTATTAGAAATCAAGCACTAAAACAAAAACAAAAAACAAATCAAGCATTGAAAAATTTCTCCAAGAAAAAGCACTCCTTCCTTTTACAGTAGTCATCAGGCTCACAAATTGAAAACTGAGGAATCAGCATAGAAGAATTTACCTAAAGGGTGATCAGCATAATCTGGTCTTTGAATATAACTTGGCACTGGCCTTGTTGGCATCTAAAAATATCAAAGATGTATGTTAGTTAAAACCAATGTGAATATGGAAACACCTTTCATAATTAAAATTTACTAACAAAGGAAATAAAAGTGGGAGAAAAACACAAGTTACTTCATTTAAGTGAAAAAAGTTTTAAATGAAATCTTATTTATCATAATATACCTATTTCACGAAGATTAAGCTTCATTTCCCTGGTGCTAACACCACTTAAGTATCATAAGAGGGAGAGTGGCCAAGGCCATTAAGGATTTAACATCACATGCAGATATCCAGGTGCCCATGTTGTTCCCGAGAAACTGGCAAACCAACAAGAAAATAATGTCTCTAAGTAAATACACATCATTATGTCTCTGATCATTATCTCTGGGAGGTAGGATTAAATAGTATTCTTATATTGTTGATATTTGTTCAAATTTCCAAATTAAAGATGCATTTATTTTAAAAAGAAAATGAGTAAAAAATGAAATATTTATGGATGACAAATTTTAACTTAAATGGATTCCTCTGTTGACCCTCTGAAACCATCTAACAAAAAACACAGAAAGGGGTGGGAGTGGTAGGAAAACCATATCGAAAGGTCAAAATACACCATGTTAAAAATTTTTAGAAAAGTAGTGACATATACCAGCACTGTCACACCAGCCAGGACAACAGCTATTCTACCACTTTCTTTTTTTTTGAGATAAAAAAGTTTTCATCCTTTCATCTAAAATTTTTTCTCCCTTTTCATGATTGCCCATTATCCCTATTAACTTCCAAATAATGTACCGTAAAAAGTGCTAAAATGCAAACAATCGTGATTATACGATTCATAATTTGATTACAAATCAGAGGTATCGTTTTTAGGAAAATGAAAACTGGTTTAAAAGAATGTGAAATTTGTATTACCTTATTTACTCACCAGTGGATAATGTGGTCGGAGTTTACCAGTGTATCGATAACCTGCCCATGGGTCAGTGTTAATATCACCTTCTAGAGTCCAGGAAGACACCTCTCGCTTTGCCTTTTCATCTTCTGCATGATGGATGGATGAGAGAAGAGGAGAGAGAAAAACAAATGCCTCAGTCAGTGGTCAAGTTAATGACTGAGCAGCAGCATACTTTATCTCTTAACGCTACACACCAAAGAGCCCAGGCACAAAAATTCAGCCAGCTGTCATCTTAACCTCTATCACCAAAGCTACTGCTTTCTTGCTATGTTCACAACCCTATGATACCTCAAATTTCTAAGAGTCTTGTGAGAAAAAGCCCAGGCTAACCATACTGTAAGTTTTTATACAGTATCAACTAGGAATAACTCATAGTAGAACCTCTTTTCTCAAGTAAATGCTAAATGTATTCCCTCTACAATAGCAATTTACAGGAAACCCATTTTGAAACACAAAATCTGAGCCTAGGCAAAATTTCTAAAATCATGTATCACAAATGAATTCTGTGCTCTTACTAAAAGGATGGATTCTAAATAACCCCAAAGCAAATTGAAAATAAAAGAAAAAATTAAAATTTCCCACCTAGTTGATGAATATTTCAAATTGTTTTAAAAATTTTATGAGCATCATTTGCCTTTTTTTCTAGGACGGGAGTAACAGGAGGCAGGAAAAGGTAAAAAATAAGGGGATGGAACAATCAGTAGAAAGTTACTGAAAACTCAGCAGAACATTTTAAGAATCACAACCCCCACCCCCATTACCAGGTTAGTCATTAATACATAATACTGTATTTACTGAAATGCACCTAAGGCCCCTTTTCACACAGAACAGACTTCTCTATGGTATCTGACATCAGCGAACTGACTGCACCTCTAAGTACAATGTAAAATATAAAAACCAATAAATAGAACCTTAAACAGCAGGAGTTAAAATGCCTCCTTGACTAAGTATCGGCCCATGTACCTCCCAAGCACATTCATCTTTTCCTGATTACTGCCATGTTATCACAAAGATGTATTGTACAGCATGGTGACTGAAGTCCACAAACACAGCAAAGACAATCTAGTCATATCTCGTTTTACAGATAACAAAACTGAGTTAAGGAGGGTCACCCGGGCAGAGATGTGGGGATGCAAAAATGCAACCAACCCATTCACATTACTCTGGAAGAGAATACAAATATAATATTACATATAAGGTAAAGGAATAGAAAAAATGAAAGAAAAGCTCTACTGTGCTACTGAAATTTTAAATATCCTTCTCCCCTCTGGAGTTCAGGAAAGCCACTGTGAATATTGTCAATAGGAAGACTGTCTCCTACCCCAGGACAAAAATGAGCTGCCTTCACTGCCGCAGGGTCAAACATTACAGAAAAGTTAGAAATGCAGGCTCACTGAGGCCTGCTTCAGTTATGCACTGCATCAAGTGCTTTGGTCTGAAATATGAACCTCAAGAATAATTTTCACCTGAAACCTAGAAAAGAGTAACAGTAAGATGCAGGCTTTTTGCTTTAACATACTCCTAGGGAGGGAGCAAAGAGAAGAAAGTAAAATTTTTCAAACCTTCCTGCTGATCTGCATTCCAAGCCTTCCACAATCTATTTTCAAAAGAGAATTGAAAGACCTCCAACAAATATATAACCAAAAAGCTACCTAGGTGAGACTGAAATATGGCAAGTTCTTTTAGAATAAACATGTCAAAAGTCAGTTCATTTACATTTTAGGATCAATTTGATCTGAGCCCTAAATGGTAGACAGATAATGGACATGCAATTAATCTGAATTGGACTGAGGGTTGGTAACAAAATTCCAAATTCAATGATCTTTTTCAAAAAGCTCTGAAAACACAGGGCAGTGTAAATAAAAACCTGCAATCTGTCTCTCAAACATTTCTATCAAATGGGGCCAGGTAAGCTAGAGGTAGTGTCAGAGACTACATGCCATGTCCATAGTCTGGCTCAAAGTACGTCACATCTAGGCTTTGGTCTTTAAAAGAATCTGTGGAGGATGCTTCTTCCAGTCATCTGACATAAAATAACTGCATATATTAAGTTTTGCCTAGAATTGGATCATCTGATGACAATTCTTCCAGTCAGTTCTTCCAGAGATGACTAGTAAGTAGTATGGGAGCACCTATTGTAACTGCACATAGGTTAAGCTCTTTCCATGGATTTGTTCATTTAATTCTCAGAGAAGACTTAAAATTTCTGCAGTTTGGAGGTCAAGTTCAAAGCAATGCCTGCTTGCAAAGCTTGGTGGAAACAGATCTGAAACATTACATAAAACCTTATATGCGATCCAAAAATCAAGAACATTTGTTTGGAGGGTAGAGAAGTGGAATGAAGTATTATTTAGTTTTCGTGTTGTTGTTTTTTTCCAAGAAGTTTTTAGCTTCTACATCTCCCACACTACTCTTGCCCTCCCCCGGTCTATTTTCTCCCCGTCTATGCTACTTATTCTCTGTACCTTCTCCCTCTTTCTCCTCCTCCCACTCCCCTGTTGCTACCCCTACATGTGATCTCCATTTCTATGGCTCAGCTCCTGATCTAGCTGTCCTCTTAGTTTGCTTTTGTTTTAGGTGTGGTTGTTAATAACTGTGAGTCTGCTGTCCTTTCACTGTTCATATTTTTTATCTTCTTTTTCTTAGATAAGTCCCTTTAACATTTCATATAATTAGGGCTTGGTGAAGATGAAGTTTTTTTTCCAAGAAGTTTTTACAGCATATGTTTGGCTGCTCAAAAAACATCTGTCAAATGCTTCCACCTTTTAATTTTGGAAATGGGAGACAAAGAAACACACTGTAAGAGGTCTGTCTAGAAAGTATCCATCCATGTAATGTGAAAAATAGACATTTATTGAAGAAGATAAGAAACCTTGTACACAAGGCAATGACACCTTACCCCCCTTCAAAGTAGGCACCTTCAGACCTCACAGTTTCCCCAGGAGCCATCAGCTGCCCTGTCACATTTTCTTGATTCTCATCGATGGTCTCAAATCTCTTTCCTTTAAAAGGTGATTTTAGTTGTGGGAAAAGCCAGAAGTCACTGGATGCCAAGTCTGGGCTGTAGGGAGGTTGAGTCACCTGGGTGATTTGATGTTTTGTCAAAAAACTCTGCATGAGATGCGATTTATGAGCAGGTGCATTGTGATAAAGCTGGTAATCACCAGTTGCCCAGAGCTGCAGCCTTCTGAATCATCCGAACAGTTTCCAGAGGAATGTTCAAGCTTAATGCAAAACTCTGATGCAGACTTGCTGCTCTACTTGCTCAGTCATTTTGAAAGTGATGACCACACAGTACACTCAATGGCACCTACCATCCCCAATGCCTAGTACAGTGGTGGTGTCATTGTTCACGAATGTGGATTACCTGTGCACTCTCCTTGGCTGTCAGTCTATTCTCCATCAAGTTGCACAAACCATTCTCCTTATAGTAACAATGGCTGGATTTTTTTTTCTGGACAGACTATTTTACACACACACACAAACGCACACACGTGGTCTGGAACAAATAACACCCTTTTTATTACAAAATCACAAGCATCTACTTCTGTAACATAATATCACACTCAAACACACCATATGACATTTTAGGTGAAATGTTCAAAATCAAACTATCAATTATTATACCCATATTATTACCCTACCAACCACATTCAAGCAGGTATTACTTCTACTGGACCCTGTATATATGACAAGAGTGCAGAATAACAGAGCATTAAGATATGAAAGTGCTACAACTTTTACAGATCACAGTAAAAGCAAGTGCTACTATGTACACTCTGGCGGGAAACATGGCATAAGAAATCTGCACCCCCCTGGAAACAAAAACAGCTGAAAGATGGCAGCACAGGAAAACACAGCCCACCTCCTCACACAATCACATCTAAATTACAACCAAGTTCTAGAACAACCATCGTTCAGACTGTGAGATGTTGAGCTGAATGGAAGTCTTACAACCATGAATTAAAGAACAAACTACATCGTGAGTGGCGAGAGGGGCAGAGATGCAGGATAGGCTGGTCCCACAGCCACGTGTGGGGAGCCAGGGACACTTTGGAGTGCAGCGTTCCAGCCCCACAACGGTCCCCCGGCCCAGAACTGTAGTCCCAGGAAGATAAATCTTAATAACTTCTGCTTGCAAAAGCCAGTGGGGATTGAGGCTTTGGATGACAGAAACTGAGGGAGTCCTTGGAGGTTCCTTTTAAAGGACCCACATGAAGACTTACTCAGATATACTTGCTCTGATGTCCAGCACAGGGGCATCAAAGTGAAAAACACTAGAGACACACAGGGAGGAAATGAATGCCCAGCATCAGGTTGAGAGCTAGAGGTTGCCTTTCTCTCAGACAGAAGTGCTGGCAGAGGTCACTGCTCCTTTTCCAAGCCCTCCCCTCACAGAGCAACAGAGCCAGCAGGTGGGCTTCTTTTCGGAGACTCAACCAACCTGGATGACACTGTTCACCCCATCCTGCTCATTCCCTGAGGCCGTGCATCACCCAAGTTGCACACTAATTCAAGTTGTTTCCGGAGGCTTTTCCACATGAATGATTTGTCTTGGCCCATGCTTCAGATTTTCCTAAATTCTTTCAAACAAGCAGCATCTGGCTTCAGGGAGCCCCATATCTCTTGCTAAGTTGCCCCAAGCCCAGCACTAGCCGCAGCTGACTTTGTTTCACAAATTGGTCTGCCCTAGTACCTCCACGCCCAGAGTAAGTAGCAGCCATTTGTAGACAGCTTTGTAGCTTATGCTGTGTGTGACCCTGGACAGAACTCAGGCGGTCGCTGACCTTGGATGTGCCAAGAGCAATCAAAGCGGAACTATAAAAGGGGGTGGGTGTACACATGCACATAGTGAGCACACCTCATGTATCCAACTTGGGTAATAGGGGAGGCCGTGCCACTAGGCCCTGTAAGACAAGTACTACATTAGGCCATTCTATCAAGCCTGGGGGATGTAGCAGCTCTACCAAATACACAGAAACAAACACAGGGAGGCCGCCAAAATGAGGAGACAAGGAAACATGGCCCGCATGAAACAAGGCCCTGCTCCAGACAGTCGTTGGCAAATGAAAGGATAGAACAAAACTCTAAAGAAAAAACAAAATAAAATGGAGACAAGCAAGCTACTAGTTGCAAAGTTCATAACACTGGTTATAAGGCTGCTCAATGAACTTAGAACAAGATCAGATGAACTCAGAGAGAACTTCAACATATAAAAGGACCAGTTAGAAATGAAGGACACACTAACTGAAATGAAGAACCATTTACAGAGGATCAACAGTAGAGTGGATGAAGCTGAGATTCAAATCAGCATTTGGAATATAACGAAGCAAAAAACAACTAATCAGAACTGCAATAAGAAAAAATAATACAGGAGAAAAGAGGATAGTGTAAGGAGCTTCTGGGACAACTCCAAGTGTACCAACATTTGTATCACGGGGGTGTTGGAAGAAGAAGAGGGACAGCAAGAAACTGGAAACCTATCTTAAAAAATAATGAAAAGAGCCCTGGCTGGTGTGGCTCAGTGGACTGACTGCCAGTCTGCAAATAAAGGGTCACTGCTTCGATCCCCAGTCAGGGCACATGCCTGGGTTGCGGGCCAGGTCCATGGTTGGGGGCCTGCAAGAGGCAACCACACATTGATGTTTCTCTACCTCTCTTCTCCCTCTCTTTCTAAAATAAATGGATAAAATCTTTTAAAAAAATGAAAGAAGACTTCCGGCCAAGATGGAAAGTGGAAACACTGCCTCCTCGCACAACCAAGTTTAAAGACAACAAAGTTTTAGTAACACAAACGCAGCCAAAACACAGAAAATTGAACTGTATGAAAGTCTGACAACAAGGAACCATTCAGCCAGATCAGTAAGAGGGGCGGACTCAGTGGCAGGGCAGGGTCAGGCAGGAAAGATCAGTGGATCGACCCAGCAGCGCAAGTGGCGGTTGGCGGACACCAGGCACGGGATGGCAATAGGCGGACCCAGTGAGGGCGCAGGGCAGCTGACTGACCACGATCATGCATTCGAGCCCAGATAAACCAAGTGAAGAAGAGAACAGTGAGACAGACCGCTCAGGCTAGGGCCCCAGCGACGAGTATTAGAGCCTGAAAGCACCAACTGGGAAGACTTTGGGGGTTGAGGTGCTGGGAGAGTTTGTGGGAGACCCACAGGGTCTTGGAGGGTACACAAGCCCACACACCCGGAACCAGCACCAGAAGGGCCCAATTTGCTTGTGGGAAATGGCAGAGGGGACAAAAATCTGAAAGAGAGTGGAACATACGCCAAAGCCCCTCTCTGACCCCGCCCCACATAAAGCATCACAACCCAGCAATCTGGGTGGCCCAACCCTGGTGAACAACTAAGGCTCCGCCCCTCATACATAACAGGTACCAACAGACCAAAATGTTATGGCTCAAGAACAGCTCAAAGCCCCAGAATCAATAATTCTAAGCGACCAAGAGATAGCCAACCTTTCAGATGCACAGTTCAAAACACTGGTGATCAGGATGCTCACAGAACTGGTTGATTTTAGTCACAAATTAGAGGAACATATGAAGGCTAAACTAATTGAAGTGAAGGAAAATGCACAGGAAACCAATAGTGATGCAAAGGAAACTGGGATTCAAATCAGTGGAGTGGACCAGAAGGAAGAAAAAATGACCAAACAGAAAAATATGAAGAAACAAGAATTCAAAAAAAATGAGGAGAGGCTTAGGAACCTTCAGGACATCTTTAAATGTTCCAACATCTGAATTATAGGGGTACCAGAAGGAGAAGAGGAACAGCCACCAGTGGAAAACTTATTTGAACAAATAATAAAGAACCTCCCCAATCTGGCACAGGCAACAGACTTCCAGGAAGTCCAGGAAGCTCAGAGAGTCCAAAAGAAGTTGGACCCAAGAAGGAACACACCAAGGCACATCATAATTACATTAGCCAAGATTAAAATGAAGGAGAGAATCCTAGAAGCAGCAAGAGATAAGGGGACAGTCACCTACAAAGGAGTTCCCATCAGACTGTCAGAGGATTTCTCAAAAGAGACCTTACAGGCCAGCAAGGGCTGGAAAGAAGTATTCCAAGTCATGAAATCCAAAGACCTACATCCAAGATTGCTCTATCCAGCAAAGCTTTCATTTAGAATGGAAGGGCAGATAAAGTACTTCCCAGATAAGGTCAAAGTCAAGGAGTTCATCATCACCAAGCCCTTATTATATGAAATGTTAAAGGGACTTACCTAAGAAAAAGAAGATAAAAAAGATGAACAGTGAAAGGACAACAAACTCACAGTTATTAACAACCACACCTAAAACAAAAGCAAATTAAGAGGACAGCTAGATCAGGAGCGGAACCATAGAAATGAAGATCACATGGAGGGTTAGCAACAGGGGAGTGGGAGGAGAAGGGGGGAGAAGGTACAGAGAATAAGTAGCATAGACAGTAGGTAGAAAATAGATAGCGGGGAGGGCAAGAATAGTAGGGGAAACATAGAATCTAAAGAACTTGTGACACATGGACATAAATGAAAGGGGGGGGAATGGTGGGGGAGGGGTGTACAGGGTGGAGGGGAATGAAGGGAGGGAATAGGAACCTTCAGTGCATATCACTAAATAAAAGAAGCCAATTTGAAAAGGCTACATACTATATGATTCCAACGATACAACACTTGGTAACAAGGCAAAACTATGGAGACACTAAAAGGTCAGTGGGTGCCAGGGTTTTGGGGAGAGAGGGATGAGGAGCCAGAACACAGATCGGTACTGGAGAAGCAGGCACACTTCAGTGAGCTAGCAAATGCCTGGGACAGAGACCCATTCTAAGCCCTTTTCCGAACACACTGCTTCACTTCGACCCTTCACTCACTTAGTGCTTTAGAACTGCCCAATTATAAAATGTTAATTGGCTCAAAGAGCTCCAAAAATACCAAACACATTAGAAATACGGTATTTAGTGTATGCGTGAATAAAATTAAATGGCATTACTTACACCAATCTTTACATTTGATTTGAGATAACAAATTCTATCATTTCCTTTTTCCTCATCTCTAACCACATTTCCTCCAACAGCCTAACATTTCTATTAAATGCAGACTTTGTCTTATACCACCACAGAAAATATCTTTTTAAACTGTCAATATCAAACAATCTACCAAAGTTTATTAAATCAGCAAATTCCTTTAAAAAAAAATACAAGTAGCCCTGGTTGGTGTGGCTCAGTAGATTGAGCACTGGCCTTTAAACCAAAGGGGTCACCAGTTCAATGCCCAGTCAAGGCACATGCCTGGGCTGTGGACCAGGTCCCCAGTTGGGGACACAAGAGAAGCAAATCACACATTGCTATTTTTCTCCCTCTCTTTCTCCCTCCCTCCCCCTTACTATTTTTATTTAAAAATAAATAAAATCTGTAAATAGATAAATAAATGTGTGTATATGTGTGTGTGTGTGTACACACACACACACACACACACATACACACACACACACACACACACACACAAGTAGGTAATTTTAAAAAATCAAGATCAGTAAGCTGAAACAGAATTCTTATACCAAGGCCCATATGGCAATGCCAAAAGAAGAGACCTCCTTGTCAATTTTCAGATAACTGTGATGGGTTGTCTGCCATAAGCCTGGCACAATAATGACATAAATTTACAAGATGAATGGCCAGGACAGGAAAGGCCATTTCAATTGAAGATACATCTCCGTGGGTGACAGCAATAGCTACTAAGCAGCAGCCAGCAGTTTCACTTTGCATTGTGTCACAAAGTAACTTCAAAAGAACAAATTATCCCTGACTGGTGTGGCTCAGTTGGTTGGGCGTCATCCTACAAAGCAAAAGGTCACCAGTTCAATACTGCGTCAGGGCACAGGCCTGGACTGCAGTTTGGTCCCCAGCTGTGGTGTGTATGAGAGGCAACCGATCAATGTTTCTGTCTCACACCAATGTTTCTCTCCCTCTCTTTCAAAATAAATAAAATCTTTTTTTCAGTAAAAAAAAAAGAACAAATTAAACATTAGACTGCAAGTAATAATATTAAATGACCTAAACCTCCCTTCAAACCAAAAGTAATATGCTTTTGAGTTGAAAAGTCATTGAAATTCAAACTAACCAAAAACAAAAAGATCAGACTAAAGGAAGTCTACAAGTGTGAGCATTTCTAGCAAAGGAAAGAGAGCACCAAAAGATTAGACTTTTTAGGTACTGCCCAAGCAAGATTCATCTATTCCAACAACAATTTTGTGTTTCCATGTCACATGTCATAAAAGATCAGCAAAGATATTACTCAGCCATATTTTGTTTACATGATTACACACCACAAAGAATAAAAATATGTTCAAATTTTAGCTTTTGGATTACACTCTCAGAATATTAAAGTATGCATTTTCTGATTATTCAAACATATACTTTCAGAACTAAAGAATTCTTATCTTTTGCACAAAAGCCACTTCTAAGACATACGGTATAGAGGTGTGTGATTTCACTTACTTGCTTTCTTATGTAGTAACTTGTGAGTAGCCCAACTTCCTTTAAAACATTCCTAAAAGAGCAAACATGAAAATTAGTGTCAGACCTTCCTTAATTAGGAACATCTTAAGCAATGATGTATATAAGAAATGGTTATTAAGAATTTCATTTGCAAAAAACAAATCTCTGACTTCATTAAATGCTGAGGAAACTTCAAGAAATGACACCCGCGTAAAAATTCATTTCAAAAACCAACCTAAACTTCACATTAGTTCAAATAAATAAGAAACATTAGCTTGTATTATAAATAGCAGTCACAGGTAACATTTCAATTTTATGTCACCAACTATTTTAAAGTGTTTTTTTAAAAATCATGAACCAACTGGTTTTTTTTAAAAAGACAAGGAAAACAGTACAGCTTCTTCCATTACTGTAGCAGTCTGATTCTCAGCCACACCCACTTCACTTACCATGTGCTGACAGCCCTACCAGACAGTGCCCCATGAAGGAAGTGACCCTGTTCAGTGTCCCAACGTGCCCCAGAGCCAGGCGGAGGGCCTGGCACACAGTAAAGCCTCAGTGAATACTTGCGAATTAGTCAAATGGATGAATGACTAGAAAGGCTAAGCTTTTCATTTAAGAAAGTACGTTCATGTAACATATTCCAGACACTAGCAAGAAGTACTAAACTAGAAAAGTTCAAGTAATAAATTGAATTAAAATAAACTCAAGCAATAAATATTATTTATGCTTTGATTTTTAGAGTATCTCCTTCAAAGAATTTAAAATTACTCAAGTACAGTAGTTCCCCTTATTACAGTTTCACTTTCCGGAGTTTTAGTTACCTACGGGCAACTGCAGTCCAAAAACATTAAAAGAAAAATCCCAGAAATAAAAAATTTGTAAGTTTTAAATTGTGCTTCGGAGTGAGTAGCATGAAATCCCATACAGTCCTGCCCAGGATATGAATCGCTTTTGTGCACATCCTTTGTCCAGTACATCCACACTTTCTACACTGCCCACCTGTTATTATCTTAGTAGCTGTCTCAGTTATCATACTGGCTATCACAGTATCACAGTAATTGTGTCAAGTAAGCCTTATTTTACTTAATAATGGCTCCAAAGCACAAGGGTGATGCTGGCAATTTCAACATGCCAAAGGGAAGCCATAAACTTTATGATGGGTATGTGTGTACAGGAAAAAACATAGTTCAGATAGTGTTCTGTACTATCCGCAGTTTTAGGCATCTACTGGAGATCTTGGAACATATCCCTGCTGGTAAGGGGGGGTTACTATAAATCATTACAAATACTAAGAAAATTCACAAAGTCCTATACATGTTTTGACTTTATAAACAGGAAAGAGTAAGTCATGGATAAAAGCTAAGAGAAAACAGAAAATAAAGCATCCCTAGAACTATTTAGTAGTCAGAGCACATTACACTGGTGATGCTAAGGCCCCTCTCCCCGCCCCAGGCCTCTGAGAGGTCAACTTTCCCTCCAGGCCCCGGGTCTCCACTACTCCCCCTTTACTTTCATTCTCCTTGTATCCTCATATCCTGCAGCAGTTAAGTCAAGAAAATCCAGGTCATATTTATTCCCTCCTACTACAACGTCGATAGAATCCAAGTGTATAAAAAGACATCCTTAGATTTTTTTCATGACTGAAACTATAACTGAGTTCCCTCTTTTGGGGAGGATGTGAAGGTGGTGGGCAGAATAATAGTGACTCAAAGATGTCCGTGTCCTGATCCTCAAAAACCTGTGGCTATGTCAGGTTACCAGGACAGTGACGGGGAATTAAAGTTGCTCATCAGCTGACCTTGAGATAGGGAGATTATATTGTTTTATTTAAATGAGCCTGGGGTAATCACAAGTATCTTTAAAAATGAACTTTAAAAAGGGGGAGGTAGGAGTCAGAGAAACATATAATGGTGGAAGCTGGGTCAGAGAGGTAATGATATTACTGGGTTTGAAGATGGAGGAAGGGAACCACGCGTCAAGGAACACAAGCAGCCTCTGGAACTGAAAAGGGCAAATAACAGATTCTCCTTAGGGCCTCCAGGAAGGAATGCTGACCTGCCAATGCCTGATTTTAGCCCCAAGACCTGTCAGATTCTGAGACCCAGAACTGTAAGATAATAAAGCTGTTGCTTTAAGACATCAAGTGTGTGGCAATTTGTTGTGGTAGCTACAGGAAAGAAAACAGTTATCCCTATTTGTTGTCAAATTGCAAAACCACTCACAACTAATTTCTCTCCATCCAAGAATTATTGGGAATTGGGAGAAAAACAAATATTTATGCCATAAGAGAGAGAGCTTTCAATTATGATTAATTGAAAAGTCCCAAGAACTAAAATAACTACTGTTTACTGAATAGGTGCACTATACACCAATATTGCATTTCATCCTCACAAAAATTCTGCAAGGCAGAGGACATTATCCCCGTTTTACAAATGACAACACTTAAGCAGAGACAAGCTTGACAATCACATAATAGAACCATACCTGGCAAAACCCACATTACTGCACTAGAAGTGATGCTTTCTAATTGCTTACAGTAGATAGATGTATGTGTGTGTGTGCATGCACACAATTCAAAGCATCAATTTAGCACTAAACTTAGAACCAGAAAACATGGGTGTGATTAAGCTCTACCATGTATTAGCTATACCACTGTATGCGCTGAAGTATTATCTTTAAGTCTAGAGATTGGTTATTATTAACCATTCTCATGGATCCTCAATTGCCTCACTGATAAAGTGGGGTTGGTATCTCCAGGAAAAGATGATGTAGCAGACTACAAGAAATGGTGTAAAGAACCTACATGAAAGTAGTTGACAAAGTGTCCAGTGCACAGCAAGTATCAATATGGGAGCCCCTGGCATCCCAGTGCTTATCACTATGTCTGGAACTAAACAGGTTTCCTCAATATATGTTGGAGAATGAAAGAGGACTAATGTGATCACATACACAAAGGATTACCAGTTGTCGGTGGAAACGTGAACTGTGTTCATTACCTACTGGAACAGACTGCAAACTGCCTACTCCATACACAGCCACTCTTCCCTTTTCCTTAACAGCAACAGAATTCTGCCAGTGGAGTTGTAATGCGCCCTGTTAAAAACATTCCCAGCCTCCTTAATTACACCAGTGGCCACGTGATCTAGTCGGGCCAACAAAATGTAAGTCTAGTTGTGGGTAGGGCTTCTGGAAAGCTACTTAGAAAACAGGCACTATTTTCTACTCATTGTCCTTTCCCTGGCTTCAAACAGGGAGATGCAGCTGGACAAAGCAACGAGCACATCCCAAGAGGCCTGGGTCCTTAATGACTCTGGCAGGAGACTGCAGTGATGCAGTAGAGCCTCTGGAGGGAGAACAGCCCTGCCCCCACCTTGATTTACATTCAATGAAACAGACTTTGGACTTCCAGCCTCCTGAACTATGAGAGTGTAAGTCTGTTGTGTTAAGCCACTCATTTCGCAGTGATTTGTTATAGCAGCCAGAGAAAACCAATATAGTAACTAACCAGATATCAGGGCACACTGGAAGAATGAATCCAATTAATGACTACACTAAACCAGGGTGAAGGACTAATTACAGTCTTTCTGAAGCTTTTCTCACTTACGTGCACTTATTTATGGAATCAACTCCCAATTATTCATGGTAACTTACAAATGGGGCAAGCAAAGACGGATGACTTAAAGAAACCTAACTTCAGCCAGCAATTTCAATTTCTCTTCCTCTCCTTTGCAAGCTATTCCTCAGCAGATATGATTGACAAAAAGGTTGCAGCACACTGGTATTTCACCCTTTTTTCCTTCTTCCAGGCTAGCCTGTGGCAAAGATGTTTATGGCAGTAAGACTGTCTGTCAGCAACGGAAAGATCAGAGATGGGGAAGAAAAGAAGTAAAAGGAAAAGTTCAAAGCAGGTAGGTCCTAGAATCCCAGTTTAAGAGTCTGCCAGGCTGAGGCAAAATCCCACCGAAGCAGAATGTTAGGTGCACCCTCCCCTTCACTTCCAGGGTTTCCTTAACACCAAACTATCAGCATACTAACTACACTTGGTACAATTTCCAATCAATTTTCATTATGTCGGCTTAGAACAAACCAAATAAATGTCTGCCCAATAACACTACACAAGGCTAAGTGGTGTGCACATCTCTTAGGTTCTGACGGTTAACACCGTAGACCACTATGAACAGTCAGTCTTCCCTGGAAAAATTAAGGACTACTTCTTGGCCCAGTACATACACTCCCTTACCCAAAATCCTAAAAACCATTTCGATTCTTAGGTAAACACTAGCAAAGTTCGTACCCTTAGCCTGGCAATCCCTTTTCCTGCCGTAACTGAAATTAGAACATAAAAAAGCAGAAGAGCTCAAAAAATGAATAATAAAGAAAAACATGTTAAGAATACAGATGTAACGTCTGGACAGAGCAGGGTTAATGTAGATGAACTTTTAGACACTTTTTAGTTCTACAAAGCCTATAATTCCATTTTATAAGTAACTATGGAAGAGATTACAAGTTCTTAGAAATTTCTAAATTACAGTAGGAATAAATACCTCAAAATAAAGTTAGGAAAATCTCCCCCAAATGGTGAGCAAAATTATAAGGTTAAAAATAAAGAGATGGTATTTTTGAAACAAAAGATTAAACCAACAAGTCTAACATCCGCATAACCGCATTTCAGAAAGAAAATGGAGAGATTAAGGAGATAACGTAAAAGTTTTCCATAACTGAAAGACAGGAGTTTCTAGATGGAAAAGACCACCCAAGGCTGAAAACCAACTTGTCCAAGGCACACAGTATGAAATATCATAATACCGTGAACAAGAGAAGACACAATAAGCTTACAGAGAAAAGGTAAGGAATAATATGCAAAAGATTGTGATTCTCAGTGGCATCAGACTTTCATAACATAAAAACTCTGAGAAAACCATTTGCAAACTAGAATTCTATATGCAATCAAACTGAAATTCAAGTGTCAGGGCATAGCAAGACATTTTCAGATATACAGAATCTCAAAAATTTATCTCCCATTCAATCTTTCTTAGGGAGCTACTAGAG